CTCCGCCCTCCGCATAGGGGTCCAGGGCCGGGGGCAGCAGGCGCTGGAACACGCTGCTCATCTCGGACAGCAGGGAGGCCGTTCCCGCGTCCTCGCTGCCGGCATCCTCGTGCGGTGCGTCCTTGCCGAAGGTGGAGAAGCTCTTCTTCTTCTCGCCGGGCTCTGCGGCCGCCGCCGCGCCGTCCTCCTCTGCGCCCGCGGGCCCCTGCGCGTTCCGCGGCGCTGGCGGGAACTCCTCGCCCGGGATGAACAGGTTGCTCCGGTAGTCCGACGGCGAGGGCAGCGGCGGCATCCAGCACTGGTCCGAGTGGCCCAGGACCCGGCACTCCTCCGTGCACAGCCTCATAGCTGCGCCCAAAGAAACAGGAGACCCTGGGTTAGGCGGATCGTGACCCGCAGGATGGAGACCGACAGATACAGGAGGTTTAGATGGTGACCGCCATGTCGCTTGGCCTGCGGCAACCACGTTCATGGCGCTACAGGGTTCACTACCTTTCTTGATGTTGCCATCCGCTCTCTAGCTGACCTGCTTTGGGCTTCATGGATTCCATAAGGAACGATCATGCAATTTATACGGATTCATCTTCCAAACGTCCTATTGTAACTGATTTGTTGACTTGTTACTTAGAAAGGCTGCGGGGGGAACATCTTTATGACTTGATATCTATTCTCACACTTGACGAAGTGTGCTCTGAAGGCTGAAGACGCGTTAATATTCAGATAACTGGCAAAGCCACCAAACGAGTAAGAAAAGAAGAATATGAAAAGCATGCCTCTCTGTTATTCCGGATGTTTTGGTACTAATTCAAGTGGCCACGCGCCTAGGACATAATAGAAATGACTAAAGCAGAAAAACGAAGAAGACCAAGCTCTCCAAATTTGGCAAACACGGTAACTAAAGTACGTGGAAAACAGGAAAGGCAGAGATGTCCTCCTGACACAGCCCACTGTGCCTTCTCTATATCATCCCACTTTACAGCCAAAAAAAAAGCAGAAATTCATAACGTGCTGAGTAATTCTTACAAATGTGAAAGAAAATGGGACTCTCTTGCTAGCCAAATCTATCTATTCAAAGCTAATTTTATAAAATGAGCTACTTAAAAACAATTTGTCTTGCACCCAAATGATTGCTGCAAGGCCCAGCCCCCAGCAGGGCTGCTGAGCTCACGGCTGAGCCCCACCAGTATCTGCACAGAATAGATATGCACTATGTATTTTCTGAATGGAAATAAAGCAAGGAGAAATAAGGGTCTTTATATAAGGGTCCAGAGGCCATTGATTTTCCTGGCTGGCAGCTCCAAGATAATTTGGGCCTCAGTTTAGAATGGAAAAAAGGAAATATTGAGTGATGAAAATGAGAGTAGGGGTTGTGAGGAGAAAAAAGCTGCATTGCTAAGACACCTAAAAAAGCAAAAAATAGTGTGGGGAAAATGTTGAGGAAAGGTGTGACTACAAGTAGAGAAAGGAGCAAGATAAAGAGTCATTGTATGATTTTTCTATGGAGAAAGATTAAATTTGAAAACTCAGGGTCACTTAAGGACATTACAAAGTTTAGATGACCTAACTTCAAGCAGTATCTCTAGAAAATTTCGCCAAGTATTATTGCTCTCGGTGTTGGATGTGGACACAAGTGAGATGTGTCGGAAGTAACTGGAATACCTCCAACAGCGGTGGGTTTCTCTTCAGTGGGATCACTATCAGAGTGCTAATGATTTTTTTTTCCCTTTGATTCCCCAGGTCTCTGAAAATGGAAAGGAGACCTGTGTCCATTGTCTCTCTCACATCCTGTCAGAAGGAAGAAGAACAGACATCCTGACACCTCTTCATTTGTTTGGCCTTTAGCTGTATGGCTGTAAGCCTAGAAAGGACTTGATGGTTTTCTGGATTGCTTCAGTGACTTTGCTATGCATGAATGTTTAATGATGAGGAAAAGCTACACTGGATTCTAAGAATACTCACCATGATTTAGTTTTCTAGAAACCTGAATCTAATGACCATGTAACCAATATGGCAGAGCCACAAGGATGGGCTAATGTGTACATTCTAATAGTTCACGCTCAAACCAACTTTGATCACAGTGAACGCCATCTACAATCACGTCTCAATAATTAAGTGGTAGACAAATGACCAAATAATCAACACAGAACGGAAAAGAATAAGAAAGTAATAAGAAAGTTGAAGAGAGAATAATGGAGGAAGAGATAACTAGAGAAAGTGAGCGAAAGCAGGACAGTAAGCAGAGAGAGAAAGAGCACACAGGGGAACAGCACAGAACGAGTATTTTCAATGAGATTCTCATTTTATTCCCCTGGAGACTCAACTGCGTGGCAATACTCTTAGTGAATGAGTAACTCATTATTGCAAATATTCCACCCCGCACCCAGAGCTTCAAACCCGCTATCTAGTGAGCAGCCTTCCTTTCACTCTTGAGAGGTTCTGCTAATAGGTCATGCCCTCTGGAGATGGAGACATACTAGAAACAGAAGCCCACCGGTCCCCTGTGTGACTGTGTCACGTGTCACTGCACTACAACTCAAACCCAGCCCACAATCGTGACAGTCCATACATGAAGGAAAGCACACGCCTACTTTCTGTGGAGTCTTAAGTTCCTGGCTGACTAGTCAGGTGTCTATGAAGAGCCTATATAAGAAAAGTAATGGGACAGGCCTCCCATCCAAACACATCCAATCCAATCCTGACTTCAGTTCACTGATGACATCATAAATGCCCAGCCAATGAAACCAACCAGGGGATACTGAGCCAGAAAAAGGGAAATGGGGAGACGTGGAGGTGGATGGTTCTAAAGAAGAAGCAACCTAACACAACTGTGAGAGATGCATGGTGTTTAGGCACACAAAGTGAAGAAAATCTAGCTCTTCTGGCTGGAGGGTCGGAGTGTGAGGGCAGAGTGGCCTCTTCCTCTTGCAGACAGATTTGAACATGGCAAAACTGAGAGTCAATAAGTTGGGAGGAATTTTATTGGCCTTTGAATATCAAGATAAATAGTTCTGTTCAGGGTTGCTGAGCAACAAGAGTCAGGCATTGATTCTGAGCCAAAAGTAAAAAGTGGAAATGGAAATGGACATGTTTTTAAAAGGTTATTGAAGCTGGAAGCAGTGTGGTGGCAGGAGGTGCTATCAGTGGGAGGCCATCAGCTGTACGTTGGTCCAGTAACTAGCCATGGCGAAAGGCCAGGGCAAAGCAAGGGCGGCGGCCATGAGGGCAGAAAGGTCTAGAATGAAACAAGGATAACAGATGACGGAAAGCGGAAGGACCTCCATGAATAAGAAGGGGTGAAGCAAGAAACAGAATCCAAAACCTTTATAATCACCCTGTGCTACAAAACACACGGGGACACTGGAGAGGCTGCGGACATGTGGTAAGTGTTGGAGTGCAAAGCTGAACGAGCAGATACAGATTTTACAGTCCAGAAAGTAGTATATCTGTGTGGGAATTCAAAGAATGAGTGGCCAGAAAGCAATGCATCATAACATAGTCTATATTTGTTCATAAGACTAGTGCAGGAAAGCAGTTGGAAGGAGACACTTAAGTCCTAAAAATATACATGCTTTAGAAAACTGCTGATCTCTCCTAATAGCCTTCAGATGTCAACTTACATTTTTCTCTACTCAGGGTATTTCCTGAGACTATATATTTACAAACCACAAGGTTTGCACCCATATATGACTGCAGAAGTTTCTAGAATGAATGAACTAGACTATTGGTTACATGTAATCAGAATGCTAGCTAGCTTGCTGTGGAGATTTGGGATGGACTGTGTTGGCCAAGCCTAGACATCCATGTCAATCCTCCAGTGGCACCCCGGTGACAAGTCTCTAGCGGAAAGCAATGACCACACCCACACCAGGACAAGTAGCAAGCAGAACAGAATTATGCCTTCTATAATAGATGCTATAACACAGTGCCGTATACCAGCAAAAGAGCTCTGCTGTCTCTTGCTGGAGTATAATAGTATAAAAATGGAAGTTTTAAGGGACTGACTGCATGTTAAGAGTAATTACTAGTGATAATAAGAAGTTGCACTCCTAATTTAAAAAGAAACGACATGGATGGAGCTTACAGTCCAAGACTCACAGTTTTCTCGAGTTTATAATTGCCTACCTATTATCTCTCTATTACTTCTATTCCCTGTCGTTTGTTCAAAAGCTAGAGAACCTGCCTGCCATGAACATAAGAGGTCTGGGTAGTTTTGAAAGTATGGGAAACAACAGAAGACTAGTCCTGACCTGTAAATTTTTTTAAAAAAATGACTAAGGATGTAGCTGTGGTACAACTCTGGGTCCACTTCCCAGAACCAAAGATAAGTAAGCAAATAAATACATGATCAGTGACTAATTTTAGAAATAGCTGAAAAATAAAAGGTGGGACTCCCGGTTAGTGATAGGAGTCCATGAGGGAACTGAGTTTTCAGCATCCTTTAGTCCCACAAGTGGCAAAGATAGCTACCCAAGGCAATTATTTTTCCATTTATTAGGATTGCTAACTTAAAGTGCAGTGAAGTCTTCATGCAATGTTTAGATGGAAAATTGAATATGTTGGCATTATGTCTGTTATGCTACCTTTGTGTTTCATGAAATAAAAATGAATGACATTGTTCAAGGGTAGGGTCCTGTCAGTATCATGGAATCAGTAATTCAGACACTGTTCGCTAGAAGAGCTGGCCTAATACAACTAATTTTCTTTAAGCAGGGAGTCTGAGGTCATCTGTATTTTACTGGATTTTCAGAGATGCAGCTTCACATTGGTCTAGGGAGTCAATGTGTGAAAATGAAGGACTGTGAAAATGAAGGTACAAACTTGGGCTGCCATGTAAATTGGGCCCTATTTTTCATGATACTTTAAACCCTTTCTATGCATTCATCCAGACAGCAATGTAGCATCTGTTCCCAGGACAAGATAATCAACTGCACAACACTTAATAATTGTGCAGTGGCTACTGCATCTTTAGGATATCCGATCAAATAAGCCACTCAATCACTCAATTTATTTTTAAAAAGTCAGAAGGCCCTGTTATTTCATATGTTTGATAAGTGTTCAAGGACATAGAGAGGCTGAATTATCATTCTGATCATGTACAAAATACATGATTGGGAAGCTTCAGTTTTTAAATCTGAGACAAATCAGAATGCTTTTTCCTGTCACCACCACAACTAACTCCAACAGGAATAATAGCAAACCTGTGAGAAACTTATTTATCAAATCCAAACTCCAAATGCCAGCACTACAGCTGACCCCAATGTCAACTGAGCCCAAGGCTGGAGAGGCACCACAGGTGGAGAGTCCCAGGTGGGCTGCATGCTCGCCCTGAGTCCAGACAACCAATGCTGACAGCGACAGGCGATGCTGCTGCCGCCACCAAGCCCCTGACAGCTGACGAGAACGAGGATTCCTATGTGTTGCTTTTCTCAGACATTTCTGGAGCTCCCCTGTGATTTCTTTTTTCTAAGCACTTTAATTTGTCTATATCTGGAAAATAAACATTAGGACCAAGGTGGATGAAAGAACATTGCTCTGCCTTTCTTTCATTTATCAAACCGCAGTCATTGGATCAATATTCAATGAATTTAGAAGGAAAAAGTAGGCAGAGGAGCATGTCTGCCGTTCTCAGGGCTGATTTCTTAGTGCAGTCCTTAGTAACAGGGTTGCTAAGAGACCCAGGGAGTATTTATTGGTTCAGAAAGTTCCTAGTGCACAAATGGAAGGAAGGGACACTAAGGAAAATCTGATTCAAAACTTGAGAGACTCTCCTCCATCTCAACTGTGTGCTTATAAATTCCCTTACACAAGCCCTCTTCCACCACAAAGCAGACAGGAAGTGAAAGGTAACAAGACATATTCTATGCTACTAAGCGTCAACAAAGGTGCATTCCTTCTTATTTTTAGTGCTTAAAGTGTACCCTTGCCAGTATATTTTAGTCTCTGATTTTGTGAGTTAGTTCCCATCACGGGAAATGTGTCCTCCAAATTATAACCCATCTCACCACTGAGTACAAAACAGACTGCCTGAATGAAAACACACCCAGTAATTTTACAGAGTTACTCAAGAGTGTCCCAGGGCAGCGCTGGCTGGGACAGAAAGGGGAGGGAAAGGCTTGGCCTTCTGCTCGCAACTCTGCCCACCCATTTTTTTTCCACTCTCTAAACTCTGGAGCTTACTCTTTCTCTACCAAGGACTTTCTGTGGATTTCAAGATAATTTCTAAAGTGTTTCACTTTCTCTTCCTTGCTCGTTTCTAGTGAGCACACTGCAAACATCTCAATGCGAAGGACACGTGAAGGAGACAGGGCCCATTTTAAACAGTGGGACTCTGTATCAGCTATGCACAGAACAACGTACGTCCTCCCCACCCACCCCGACCCCGCGTACCTGCTGGAATTCTGCCGTCTGTAAGAAAGAGGTCACTGAATCCTTCCCCCAGCAGTCTGTCTATTGGAGAATCCCGTCCCAGGTCATAATCGCTGTCCCCGGCCTCACTGTCCCCTCGGCCGCTGTCTTTCAAGCTAAATTTGTCCATGTCTTGAAGGGCATATCTAGAAAGACCAATCAGGGAAGCTGTTATGAAGATCCTTCTGCATGAGAGCTATCTGAGACGACACAGACCGTGCAAACAGAAGTCATACCTATAGCTCCTGGAGTATTTGTTTCCTCGAAAGCTCGGTCTGGGCTGGTACTGACCCTGGTGAAGCATGGAGAGAAGTTGAGAGACCTGCTGGAAACCAAACAGACAGACTGATTCCTGAACACAGACCTCCACGCCCACCTCCTCACGTGCAGCCGGGGGACACATCTCCAGGGGCTGTTTCCCGCTATGGTGCAGCATGGGTGCACTGCACTTGGAGCATGGACGGCGGCTGGGCTGCAGCCCACTGCCCAGCCTCTCACCACACACATCCAAGAGACCTCCCAGGGAGCCTGCAGTCATGCAGTAAGACAATGGCTTTTTTAAAAATGACTTTTAAATAACTGATTTTCTTCCATTAAAAAAAAGCCATGGAAAATGTTGTACATTTCATTGTAGCACAACTAGTTGAAGTAATGTCAGAAAATGTCTCCAGAGTTGGACAAATATAGTAGGAACTGTGGAGGGAATCTGGAGACCTCATCATTGATTTCTTTTTCTTCAGTAGAGACCTCAGCAGTGTAAAAAAAAACCAGAAAGAAAGAAAGAAAGAAAGAAAGAAAGAAAGAAAGAGAAAGAAAGAAAGGAAAATGAATAAAATAAAATGAAATAAATCCCTCTACCTCTGAACTTCCCACGCCTCTTCATCGGGGCTGGAAGTCAGAAGCCTCTTTTTTAGAGGCCCTTGTGAGCTTCACCAGGGACTCTAATACCATGGCACATGCAACGCCCCAGTGAGTTAGTTAAGAAAAGGGGAGAATGTGGAAAAGTCTAGGTCTAGGCCCATGTCACAACCCAGACCCCAATCAGGATAGGGGCACGGGAAGGGCCTACCTCAACCGCAGGTGTAGCGTGGGTGAGTTCTAAGGAGAAACTCTCGGGCACGTGGTTGGAGGAGATGGTCACCAAGCTGTTGAGTGACTGGTGGCTGTTGTGGCTCTGGCGGCTGCCCATGTGCCCCCTCTCCAGGGCTGGTGATGAGGAGGGCGAGGATCTGTGATGGGATCTGATGGGCAGGGTGCTGTTGAGGGTGGGCACCAGCGTGATGTCCCCTTTGTGAATCTGCCGCGACGGCCTCTTTGGGTGGTGCTGATAGGTGGACTCGGCCACCCTGCAGTTGTAGGACCGAGTGTCTTTCTTCTCCCGGTTGCACCGAGTCGCAAACAGCACCATGATAACCAACAGCACGGTGCAAATGGCACCCAGGGAAATAATGATGATCATGGAGACGTCCGGGGAGGCCTGGCTCACCGAGGTCATGGTGGTGCTGGTGACCGCCGGGGTGTTCTCCAGGACCACGCACTTCAGAAGGACTCTGGTGTGCAGGGGAGGGTTGCCTTTGTCCTGAATGATGACCGAGAGCCCCCACGTGGTGCGGGCCACTGACTCCATGCTCACGTTGGTGTGGAGGTCGCAGGACTGAGGATCCAGGAGGAAGACGCTGTCCTCGTTCCCAGCCACGATGGCACAGCTGAGTTCAGCGTTCACGCCAGAGTCTCTGTCGATGGCCCTCAGCCTGGTGACATGGAAGCCACTGTCGGCCCCCTTGGGGATGGCGATCTCTGCAGTGCTGTTGTGCAGGGCAGGCTCCACCACCACGGGCACGTTGTCATTCTCATCCAGGATGGTGAGCACCACCGTGGCGTTGCTCACCAGCTGCTCGGGGCTCCCTCCGTCCCTGGCTTCCACCACGAAGGTGATCTGACTCACCTCCTCGTGGTCAAAGATTCTGAGGGCGTAGATGGCCCCATTGGACGGGTCGATGGTCACATAGGTGGTGATGGAACTCCCCAGGACAAAGCTTTCCAAGATGGTGTAGGTCACCTGCCCGTTCTCCCCCAGATCCAGGTCGGTGGCCGTGACCGTGGTGATGTAGGCGCCTGGCGAGTTGTTCTCCGAGATCACGAATTCGTAGCGGCTCCTCTGGAAACGGGGCGGGTTGTCATTGATGTCGTTGATCTGCACGGTGAAATGTTTGACTGAAGACAGGCTGGGGGTCCCCTTGTCCTCTGCAATGATGGTCAAGCTGTACTCCGACCTCTTCTCGCGGTCCAGGGTGGCGTTGGTGAAGATTAGGTAGTTGTTCTCGTAGGTGTTCTGCAGCCTGAAGTGGCCGTGTCCATACAGCCTGCAAACCACCTCCCCATTCAACCCGGAATCTTTGTCGTGGACCCTCACCAAGGCCACGAAGGTGTCGATGGGGTCCCCTTCGAAGATGTAGGACACTTCCTCCTTCCCGGGAAACATGAAGTTGATGCTGATCTCGGGCTTGTTGTCGTTGACGTCCACCACCTTGATGATGATCTTGCAGTGGGCGGGGATGGAGTTGGGACCCAGGTCCTGGGCCTGCACGTCGATCTCGTAGGACTTGGTGATCTCGTAGTCCACTTGCTTGAAGAGGGTCAGGTGTCCGCGCTCGGAGTCGATTTGGAAGGTCTCTATGATCTTGGGAGACACGTGGCTGCTGAAGGAGTACACGATCTTGCCGTTGGCGCCCTCGTCGGGGTCGGTGGCGTTCAGGTCCAGCAGCAGGCTGCCCACCGGCGCGTTCTCGGGGAGCTCGATGAGGTAGGACTGCCGCTCGAAGGCCGGGCTGTTGTCGTTGGAGTCCGAGATGCTGATCTTGAGGAGGGAGGAGCCGGAGCGCGGCGGAGTGCCCATATCCGAGGCGGTGAGGCGCAGCTCATAGCTGGCCACCCGCTCGCGGTCCAGCTCCCGGACCACGATGAGCTCGGCGTACTTGGCGCCGTCGGTGCGGGTGCGCACGTCGATGCCGAAGTACTGGTTGTCGGAGAGCGCGTAGGTGTGCAGCGCGTTCTCGCCAACGTCGGGGTCGAAGGCGCTGTCCAGGGGCAGCCGCGTGCCCACGGCCGCGCTCTCCGAGATCTCCAGCGCGATGACCGGCCTGGCGAAGCGCGGGGCGTTGTCGTTGATGTCCAGCACCTCCACCTCGATGTGCAGCAGCTGCAGGTGCTCGGTGGGCAGCGTGACCACGTCGAACTCCAGGGAGCAGTTGAGGTTCTTCTGGCAGAGCTGCTCGCGGTCGATGGTGGCCCCGATGCTCACCTCCCCCGAGCTCTCGTTCACCACCAGCAGCGGCGAGTTCCCGCGCTGCATGGCTCGGAAGCGCACGGCCGCGGGGTTGGGCAGCTTCTGCAGCACGTCCGCCAGGTCCTCGGACAGCCGCGCCACCACCGCCCCGACCCGCTGCTCCTCGTACATCCGGTACCGCAGGTTCCGGCCCAGCGCCGCGCGCGCCGCCGCCAGCAGCAGCAGCAGCACGTTCGCCTCCATCTACGCCGCCCGCCCGCCGGGCGCCTCAGCACGGCTCGGCGGCCCCGGGACCCGCGCCGGCCGCCCGGAGCCCCGCCGCATCCGCGCCCGCGCCCGCGAGCGCCCGCGTCCCGGAACCACGGCGCGGCGACCGGCGGCGGCGCGCCCACTTCGGCCGGAGCATACACACCGCGCGGGACGACGGGCGCTCGGGGCGCCGCCGGGGGTCCCGGGCCGGGCGTCCGACCCCGGGGTGGCCGGCGCGCTTCCCGCCGCGGAGATCCAGAGGGGGCGGCGGCCTCTCTGCCGGGCGGCGAGGCTGTCCGCGCCCGCCGCCGCCGCCGCCGCCGCTGCGCGCGGGCCGAGCCCGATGCCCTCGGCTGGGCGCCGACAGCCCGTTCCCCGCGGGATCCGCCGCTGCGCACGGGCTGTGCCCGGTCGCCACCGGTCCCTCGGCTGCGCTCAGGCTGAGTCCGGTCCCCGCCGGCCCCGCCGCTGCGCGCGGGCAGCCTGGTCCCCGCGGGATCCGCCGCTGCGCGTGGGCTGTGCCCGGTCCCTGCCGGTCCTTGGACTGCGCGCAGGCTGAGCCCGGTCCCCGCCGGCCCCGCCGCGGCGCGCGGGCAGCCTGGTCCCCGTGGGATCTGCCGCTGCGCGCGTGCTGTGCCCGGTCCCCGCCGGCCCCTCAGCTGCGCGCGGGCTAAGCCCGGTCCCCTCGGCTGCGCGCGGGCAGCCCGGTCCCCGTCGGCCCCTGGGCTGCGCGCAGGCTGCGCGCGGTGGCTGCGGGCTCCAGCCTCACCTCTGAACAACTTCACTCAACTCAGACAAAGCTGCGGCCCTGCCTGCGCGGAATCGCTCGCAGCCAATCAGAGCGCCCCCAAATCAAAGGATCGGGAAGGAGGGAGGGAGTGAGGGGAGGTGCGCGAGCGCGGGGCTGGGGCACGCGGGGCGGGGCGCGGGCGGGGCACCGAGGGGAGCCTGTCGGGGGCTGGGGGGGCGTGGCCCGGCTGGGGGCTGGGCGACCTGGGACCCGGGGCCGGAGGGAGAGGGGGGGCCTGGGAATGGGGCTGGGGAGGGGGGGAATGGGTGAAGAGCCCGCCTTCCAGCATCCCCCCTCTCCCGTCTTGGCTCTGCTGAGAGCACTTTCTCTGAGCGTGCCAAGACAAAGGGGAGACAAATTGCAGAAGACAAAACTTTAAATCAACTTCTGGTGGCCCTTTATTTATATGACACTTTAAATGGTTCTTGTTTGCTTAATTGCGCTTTCTTCTGCCGCAAACATACAATCTCCCTGCTTTTCATCGTCTTGGAGTGCTGTGTGAACTTTAACTACCTCTAAGTGCGTTTTGGGGTGTTTTTTTTTTGTGGGTGGTGGTGGAGGAATTTAATAAGATTTGAAAACTTGCTTCTAATTAGGCGTCTCAGCCCGCCCTTCCCCTCCTCTCCCCCCTCTGTAAATACCGGGGCCTGGCTAGGAGCAGATTTTCTTGGGGCTGTGTTTTAAAAAGAACAGAGCCAGGAAAGAGGTTTCATTTTCTGCTTCTTTCATCTTTATTCTTTGAAGATAAGAAAAGGGCTACCTTGCCGTCTTGATTAGCGAGATGGAAGGAAACACCTCTGAATTTGGAACTGGTCAACCATAGGAATTCTGCTTCCTAGGTTACTCTTTTCCTTGAGTTTTGGGGCAAAAAATAATGTTTGATGGCATTTCTTTGTCTTGCGCTTTTAAAAAGAACCCTGTTTATCTTGGGGAAAGGACATTTCAAGCTTCAGCATGCCAGTTTCTGCCAAAAGGTGCTCTCTGCACAGTCTTCACAAGGAATGCCGAGGGGACAGGGACTCAATAGTTTACAAGTCAAATTTTTAGAACGTATGCATTATTTATGAAAACGCTTTTTCAGTTATCTACTTAAAAAAACAGGGCTTGTTTACACTGACAAATAAAATGCCTGAGCTGAAAATTGCATTTCTGTATGCATCAGAATGCTAGAAATACCATGGGAGGCCAGCGCCGTATCCAGGTCACGGAAACCGATGTGATATTCTTATTCGAAAATATGATTATTTATGATGCTCTTTCTGCACTGCCATTCCTTTTAAGTTTATCATTGTGGCTCCATTCCGGCTGTCTTCGCCTCTCCTCCTTCATGATTCCTGAGCTGACTTCATTTACTTCCATGTATTGGCTCTTTCACAATAATCTCAGCCACTTTTTTTTTCCATTTTTCTCCATTTCTCTTGATTCTCCCCCCCCCCAACACACACATAAACACACACACACACGTAATTTTCTGAATTTTCCACTTTGCTTACTCTCAGCAGAGCTCAGCTAAAGTCACTGAAAAAGATTCTTTATGGAAAAAAGAAAGCAAAGGAGGCTCGGCGTGAAGCCCCTTCTTTTTAGGCCTTGAAAAGAATTTTATAAGCTATTGTCTTTCTCGTTCCCTCTCCTGAAACCAGTGCTGTGTGGCAAATTGTGCAGAATGGAAATGCCGATAATGGCTGTAGTTAGCACTGGGTCACGCTGATGGACGTTCTGGCCCCATGAATAATACTGTTTTACAAGTTTGTCGCCCTTTCAAATTGCTGATCCCAAACCCTTTAGACTAACCAGGAAAAGTACCACAAGCAACTGGAACTTCAGAAAGCCATGGCCATCTGGCCTGGAGGGCTAACAATCTGAGCCAATAATTATATCAAGTCAGCCTTCAGTGAATCTCTTTCCAAAAATCTAAAAGAGCAAAGAAAGGAATTAGTGACTATTCAAAGTTTGGATGAGGATTCAAAGGTAATCTAATTCCATTAGTTCTGCGAGAGGGTTCTTTGTGCAGCTGATGAGTCTATTCCAAACATCTCCAAGAGCACTGAATTCCATTCCTGAATGTTCAGGACAGTTTTATGTTTTGTTTTTTCAAATTTCCTATGTTTTAATAGCAGAAGTAACTTCAAAATCCTAATTTTATTTTATTTTCAGCAGTATGCACCTGAGAAATTTACAATAAGTGATAAATTATATTACAATCATAAACATGGGTTTCTATGAGTAAATCTTTAAAGAAGTTGGCATCGTTACACAGAGAAGGCCTTTTTTCCCTTATAATAATGAATCCATTGTTATTTTCTTTTCACCTTTCTTTTCACCTTCCTAATGTAAAAGTCAAGGAGTTTTACTTTTGCATTATCCTTAGTATATAATACTTGTCCACAGGTCCACCTTCCCTCCATCCTCCTCTTCTTCCTCCCCACCTCCCGGCCCCGTCCCTCTCCTCCACCCCCTCCTCATCTCCTCCTTTGATGGCTTTGGAGGCCTTCAGCATTTGCCTGAGGCTTTCTACTACTGGACCATACCAACACTGCCAGCCCTCATGCGTTCTATTTGTCTTTAAAACATAAAATTCCTTTTCCTTTATGCCTTTGATTGTCTCCAGCGATTCACAATTTCCCCATTGAGTATGACTAAAGAGCAAATGCCACACACACACACACACACACACATCTCCAAAAATGATTGCTAGGAATGATATCTGAGCAATGCACACTCATGGTCACACCCCCTTCATTGACAAGGAAAGAAAGTGCCCCCACCTCTTGGAGACCCTGACATGTAGTGGCAGCAAGCGTAGCATCTGAGACCATCCCAGCTTTACAGGGTTCAACACTAGACTTCCTCTACCACCTCAGCCTAAGCTGGTTCTAAATGACCAACCTGGAGCAAACACAGAAGCAGTGAGAATTAATACACCCCATCCCCTTGAACAACGATTTCAGCATGCCGTTTATCTTCATTATTGCTGTTTTAAGGCAAAATCACCTTTATAGCCCTAAATCTTTAATATTTTCCTTCCTAGTAAGGATGAAGGATAGCCCATGACTCCGCTGTAAACTTCAAATGTCTCCACATTACACGAAAAATAATGTCTTTTGAAGTGCTGGAATACAAAATGAATGCCATTAACATTTCAAAAAAGCAGATGTGGATTTTGTCTTACAATATCTTCGCTAATAGTTTATAATTTTGTGAGACATAAAAAGTGAAGAAGACCAGTCACAGTGATCAGACTCATTTTTACCTCCTTATATTGTATCTTTCCCACCACCCAAAATTAATCATCTACTTTCAGAAAGGATCTTAACCCCTTGGAAATTGGCATGGTATTTCAATCTTTCTCCAGTATTCACTGTGCAATGTGCCTTGTAGAAGAAGCTCATGGTCCTGCTTGACACCATATGGCCATAATAAGCCTAAGCAATTACTCTACCACGTATCCTGGGAAATTAGAAAGGGGAAAAGCTTCACCAGACAAAGGTTATGAAAGTTAAAGAATCTCAGTACTCTGGAACTGATTAAAATAAAGAGCTTGCTTATTATAGGAGCTCAACAGATGTATGATTGCTGGTGCCACTAATTGATACCTATGGAATTTCAGAAAAAAATATAATTTAGTTTCTGACTCCGTAGACTCCTTTGTGAGGTAGGAGTAATAGCACATGGCTGCAAAGAAATCTTACAAAAATATTCTTCATTTCTCATAAAGGCTTGCCCACAGTAAACATACAACAAAAGCGGTTTCCTTTCTTTATCGTGTCTTTTTAATTTCTGTTTAATGCTCATTGATTTTTTTTAAAAAAATAGGGATGTCTGAAGTCCTTGTTTCTTTTCAGACTTTTTTGGTTTAGAGGTGTGATTAATTTGCCTTTTATTTCCTGGAGGGTTTAAATTCCCTCCATTTTGATTCTTGAAGATCACCTGTAAAACAAAATCAATAAAAGAGAACTATGATGGTCTCTTGAAAACTAGTGGCTTCACTGAAGAAAATTACACAAGAACTAACAGAGTTACCAGTCCTTAAGCAAGAAAAGCACATCTTAATACAAAATGTATATTTACTAGGTGCTTTAGTTACCTTTTGAGGTCAGGTAAATATCTGGAATTTGCCTTCTCTCAGATCACTGGAACTAAACAAGTTTTTAAATATCATGTTACACTACAATAAGAAGACAAAATGATTCAATTTTGTCAACAA